TTAAAAGGTGTTATAGAAAAAAATAAGTTACATAGTTTTAATATGTGAAAATAAATTACACAAATGTATGACACTTGATTATTTTCGCGCATATACATTCATCCTTGCTAAACCGTATCCCGGTCAATTTACGAGTAATTAAGCCTGACCCTCTTTCAGGGGAACTTTTATTTGCGGTCGAAATAGACCCGGCTCGCTAAACCGGTATCCTATTGGCTTGAATGGCGTAAAGATCTTCTACAATCTTGATTAATGCGTGTTCGCTTTCTTGCTGTTTATTGCTAAAATAATTTTGTCTGTAATCACATTTAATGATGACATTATCACGTCCTTATTCGTTTAATTAGAAATGAACTTTAAAAGTATTATCAAGGTCTAAAACGATAATTATATGGCTGAATAGTAAAATTCCGCTGCTGAAATAAAAAAAAGTTCATATTTTTGATGTTCATTAAAGTTATCACAGTATATTGTAGCTATGACTATACGATTAATGAAAACTAATATGACAATATTATTTATTTTGTCTCTTTCATTTCATAATTATATAAATATAAACGTCTTAGGTACACCTACATCTGTTCGGTACTAAGACAGACTATAACTTCTCAAATTGTGTTCGTAAGTAGGGGTGAGGGATTAGCGTGTGCCACGGCAAATATTTTATTGCAGTCCAAATCTCCAGCCCTCAAGGTTTTATTGTTCATAAGGCTCGTCCGAGCCAAATGAAAGAGTTTATGGCGAAGATGTAAGTCTGTCGGTGTTGCCACTATAGGGGAGACGTTTTAAGGGAAGAACTGATTCAATGTATTATGATAGATGAAAAAGTGCGTTTTTAAAAATGACATTTTATTGCTCTATGTGGTGGTGGTATAATTATATAGGTTAGGTACTTAGGTCGTCATTCGAAATGGAGAATCCATAATGATTTTGTAAACATGCTGTATTATAATAGAAAGGTTTTAAAAAAGAGCTTATAATGTTCAAAAACATGAAATACGATACAGACTTTATCCCTAAAATACTTTTATCTGGCAACACTACGTTTTGTTGACTCAAGTTATTGACCGTCTTTCGTCGACGATTGTGTATTACTGTTATTGATTGTACTCGACGCGTGACTTGTGTTGGCGATTGTATCTCGTAGTCTATTTAGTGCGGTGTTTGCAGGGCAGTAGGGAATTAGAAACAGTCATCGTCACACAAGGGCGAATGCTTGGTCCATGTTTGTTCCTATTGTGTGATTTTCTTTGATGGTATTAGTTATATGGAATGTGTGTTATTATGATGTAACATTGTCCTAGATAATGTAATCAGGAGAATTTTTTTCTACCTTATTGGTGTATTATCCGATATTAATTTTAAAATTTTAAATGTCTTTAGAATAATAAATTAAATGCAATTAACACTGGAGTGTGCCACGGAATGTGTCCTGAACACACCACCTTTGATGTATCTGAAAGCGACAACTTTAAAAACGATTTATTCACAAAACTGTGGACCGTTATTTTCGCCAATCGTATATGCCATTGGTATACTGACCGTACAATTATGTATTTATTGTAAACGGTACGATTGCCGGCCGGCAGTAATTTGCTTTTAATTCGCCCGCTTTTGTATCATTTTCGAGTTTCTTCGTTTTGCCGTGTTTTTGGAGATTTGTTGGATTGCAATGTTTTTTACAACGGTTGTTTTTTACAAACTCATTTTTACATATTTTAATGAATTTTTCTGTAAATTGGGTTATCATCTTAATAATTGATTAGATTATCATTACTGAATTTATATATCATCATCATTATTACCACTCTATTAATGTGCCCTCTGCTCAGGCCTTCTCTTTGGGTGGAATATTGTGAGAAAGAGTCAGGCGAGCCCAGTGCAGATTGGTGGTATTATCGACTGCATGTGCAGCCTTCCTTTCGAAGCACGAAGGAGTTTGAGATAGCAAATTTTTGGTCACCCAACCTATAACCGGCCATTGGGAAAGTGTCTTAACAACTGTGTCTAGAGCTCCTCTATCTGAATTTTGATTAATTAACATGAAAATTTTTAACTGTCGTCAACTATATTATGAGTATCAGTATATTACCTACTACCTGCTTGCATGCCTTTACGATATAACATTCCCTTTTTTACGACAGCAAAAAAACTTTAGTAAAATATGGAGTGATCTTATTTACGAGTCGTATAAAGTACTAACTTTACAATTTTGCTACTTTGCAGATCGAAAAACTCGCACTAAATATTTACAGACTAGCCAACTCAAATACGTACAAGTTAAAATGTTTCATTTTAATTTATTATCGTCTTTTGATGTTACAAAGAATACACAATGTAACTATAACCCTTTTATAACGACTTTTTTTTGCTAGACAAAATGGTCATTGTTTTATTCCACAATTTACTATCCTCATTACTTACTTACTATCAAATGATTCGATGCTAGTTTATTTAAACCGCCCGGCGTAGGTATACTACGGTCGACAAGGATAGATACATTGTCAGTCACGGCGTCCGCTTCTTCAACTTTATGGCCAATCATTTATTCCCAGCTTGTTTCATCATTTTGTAATCTGTCTGTTATAAAACTCAGCGGTTATTATATCTGTATTAATTTTGTGTCTGTATACATATTAGCCATTTGTTTGTATCTTCTTAATTTTAATTATTCCAATTGGTTAAAGAATAGTCTAAACAAAAAACTAATATAATTAAACACCTTCTTGTACCATCAACCATTTGCTGTTATGAATACTTTAATCCCAACCTCCTTTAAACACATAAGTGATATAATTGGGGTTCCGATTCTATCGATTCTAATTCGAAATAATGGCCGGTAATTTGCTGCGATCATTTGCTGAGGACAGTCGATATTCGATCAATAAATCGATGAAAATCGTTATAATGGCGGTTCGGAATCGACGTTTCATTTCTTTAAATGCCTGATCAGTGGATTCGCCTAATAATAGTCATAACGTTAAACGATGAACCTTTTTATCCGTTATGGTACAGCTTTTTGTATTGATGGGGGCTAATTTAAAAGTTTTTTTTTTGCTTCGTTGTTTTCATACAACAAATGTTCGAGTCTTAATAAGGATCTCTATATTTGATAAATTTTCATAAGATATATTTTACTATTCATTATTACATTCAATTAATTAAGTTTTCAGAGTGAATAGTTATTTTGATAAGAGTTTGTTATCGTAACAACTCTAATCACCATTCAAGCATAAAATATGTAATATCTGTTGACCACGATCCTAATAGGAAAGGGACAGCGCTCTACCAGATCCACGTTTAAGAAAGAGATGGGCTAAAAGGGTTGTTTCGACCGCAAGTTATTACGAGATTTAACACGTATTTAGTTAATTAGTGAGTGCGGTTGACCGGCGCGGTTGCAGGTCTGTTTTACGTGTACGAGGATTAGTAAATATGCTTTTCGGTTTTGTGACCTAATTGTGGTTTTTGGGTCTGACTTTATAAAGTGATACTATTATATTTTCATTTGGTATCTGCAATTTGGGATCATATTTTAGAATTTGTAATTTGTTAATATCTAAGTTATTGGTTGATGATTAAAGTTTTTTATGTGTCAACGATGAATTAACACTACCGAATAGTAGTAAAATATTATAAAAAAAGTAAATTTCTTCGCTGAAATTCATTGAATAAATTTATCATCAGAAATCAAATCAATTAAAATGATACATATTAGAATGAAATAAAAGTTATACGACAGCATTACTTGTTTAGTAAATAAACCGCAGTCAATTTATCATTGGCCATGATTTGCATAGGTACATAGGTATTTGAAATTAATATTAATTGAAGATGTTAAAGGGTTTGAGTGTATGGTACAGAAGATAACGGTTAGGTTCGCAGTGTAAATAATGCGCAGATATTAACTCAGGGTCTATTGGTCATCGTGTTTGTTTTTGTATCCGTTGTATTATCAAATATGGAGGAAGAAAACAGTTCTCATATTTAATTTTAAACGATTATTTTAGCTTTTGAGGAGGTTTCATAATATTTTAAACAAAATCTCCTTTTATCTCATATTACTTTGTATCATCAAGCTTTTCGAATTTATTCGAAACCGGCGAATTCATATTAATCTCTAAATTAAAAGCTCGTGTCACAACCACAAATTACGGCGACATTGCATCCATTCTCGTTGATAATTGAAATTTTCCATGATACGCGGCAACATACCTGTGCCCTTAATCGTGGAACAAAGCAACACATAATATTTAATATTCAGCAATCCTGAAATCCTCTGTAAAACGCTTCCACAATGGAAAAGGGTGTACTCCTTTAACGGTCCAACCGTTAACTCGCGTTTAATTCGACACCTTGTTAATTGTTTCCGACGCCTGGTCCGTTTGGTGACCTCACAGACCACCCAGTACCTCCTACACCCCCAACAGGGGGTCATTTTAAGAATATTTGCGCAACACCCCTCCGTGTTTGCTTGGGTTGTTTGTGGTACCCAGAAAACAATAGTCTCGAAATTCATTGCTCATTTTATTATTGTTTGTTCACCGTTTTACGGGCGATTCGATTATTGGAACGTGTAATTAAATGATAATACTGGGCATTAATTGGATTTTACCTGAGCGATACTTCTGAGTGCGACGATATTTATCAAAGATTTCCAAAATTAAATTCAGATATTGTTTCAACTGAAACAACGTTCTTGCTTATTGGGTCTCCTCTGGTTTAAATTTATTAGTCTATTCGATATTTCTTCCCATGAAAATTTTATTAATTTAACAATATAACAAATTTTAAGTAAACGTCTCCGAAAATACCAACAGAAAAAATTAACGCTGCATGAATTAATAATACGCATATGATTAGGTTTATCACACAACTACTGTTAGATTCAAGTTTTATTTATGTTATTCTTTTGTTTCTTTATACTATAACGTTAATCGAAGATTTCGCAAATTGAAATGAACCTTTTGATGAATTATCAACAGTCTTTTTCATTACAGAAATGGCAAGGATGGAAAAGTCTCCTCTACTGGCGAACGGGTACAACGCACCGCCTACGCACCTAGGGCCCATGGGATTCATGCATCAGCACGCACTCATGTCACCAGGCATGCCCCACCATGGTGTACCCCGGCCTGACGGCTCCATAATCAAAGGACAACCTATGCACAATATGGAAGCACTCGCGAGGTAATTTCTCATATTCCATTTGGAAATATACATAATAGCAGCGCTAAAATTCTGTCAATAAAAACAAATCTGCGTCTTTATGCAGTATTTACATTAGATGATTTAACTTCATATAGAGTATGATATAATCCCTCGTCTTCTGCCTAATACAGGTGTAGATAGTAAACGAAAATAAATACATTTTTTTTTCTGGTAGTGTTTAATATACTATTGCCGATAATCACACTTTCATACTAATTATATTTATAATATTGCTTAAATGAAAAATACAAATATTTTATACTGGTTATCACGTGACCCCAAATAGCACACCCCTCTTACTCATAACAGAACTTAGAGAATTCAACCTTATGCATATATAGAACGATATTAGTTTCAGAGGACCGTGTCGCCATGACAGAAGTGGCGTTTTCGCGGGAAACTTTGAAAATGAAATTTATTTTTGAATTTTAACTTATTATATGAATGATACTTTTTTAAATATATTTTTAGATATATTTCATGTATATCTATAAAATATAAATATTAAAAAAAGTTGTCTGTTGGCCCAAATTCAAAGCGAAATTTTGATTTTAATCTGTCATCTAGAATAAGACCCGTCCCATCTTCTATCCAAAATTTGAGTATGCCTTCTCACTTTCACTCTTTTCCGACTATTATTACATCAGCTACGTAAGACAAGAATGTTTTCCTTCTAATCTCGGTATTCCGAATTTAAGTCAGAACGTGAAATGCCCATGACTTGCTTATTTATGAATATTTAGTTTAGTGAGCTTCCTGGTTTCAGAATTGCACACTGTGAAAAGTATATTGTACTAAAGCTAGGAAATATTTAATAAATCAATAAAACGAACTAATTGTTTTTTTTTTCACTAAATAATATTAACAAAGTTCGCTCGCTGTGTCTATATGATGAAGAAAAACATAAAAAATGTCAAATATACCAGTGATGGAACCAAATCATGAGGAAGCTTATAGTATACAATGAATTTCAATATACATAAAATTTGTTAAAGTATGAAGTTGTTTGTTAAAGATTTAGAAAAAAATAATGCCAGATTCATTTGTTTGAAGGCAAAATATGTTTATTAAATGTATAGAATTTAAGTAGTATTAATTTATTATTGACTTGTTTAGTCATACATGTTAATAAAATTTATATAGAACATTAAGAATATCCCGAGAATAAAGCTTAAATTTATTGATATAACACACCATATTGCAGCGATTAACATTACTAATAACATAATTATATTCCCTAGAAACCACAACAAATTTGTATACAAATCGATGTTAAAGCAAGTTCATAACATGAAACCTCTAAGCAGGTCACCAGTCGCGCAGGTTAAATGTCTAAGTGAGTTAATCCTATTAGAAAAGTACAAACAGTGAATGCCCCCACTTCCGTTCTGAAGACCCACAAATGCTGGCTACCCCACTGTCTTACTGCCACTTTTATACGTCACAGGTACTATACTATTTCTTCTTCGACAACTTTGCCACCTCTTATAATAGTAACACAAACTTAAATGCTTTATAAATTAAATCTATTACGTTTACATTGTAAATATGTATATGTTCGGAAATTCGATTTCCTTTTGAATTATGAGAAAAATAAGGTCTATTACTAAAATCCGACTAAAATCGCAAAGGTTATCAATATATATTTGAAATATACTAATTTAGTCTTTTTATTTAACATCCTACATAGAATGGTTGAATAATATATTTTTTTACTATATAACTTTATGCTCTCTAGCCGGCGCTTTTGCCAATTTAATGTAACGTCACATAGGACGCGGACAATGATGATCCTTTATCCAGTTACAATGGGTAGGTTATGTATGAATCTATGGATTTTTCATTGTAAAGTTATTTCTATATACCTATGTAATACAATACATAATGAAATTTTAAGATAAAATTAATTAAATTGACAGTGAACAATTGTGATCCATTGACGTAAGAGGATAAATGGATCGTTATTAGAAAATATGGCATAATTGTATCAAATCCTAAAACAAACGTCGAAAAATACAATGAAAAAACAATTGGGTTTTATTAAGTATTTAATTAATATCACAGTGTTTCATAAAAACTTAAGGGTATAAACTAATGTAACGTGTATAAGTTTGGTACGAGTGGGTAGCAAATTCAGTTTTGTATAGGATATTGGAAATAGATGCGTGACAAATTCTTAAGTTAATTTGCTCGTATTTCATGAAAAACAAAAAACAAAAACGACAGTATCATAAGCAGAATAAATAATTATTCCTTTACAGATCTGTTAAGGAAAGTTTAATGGAAAACAAAGAGCTAAAGTAATCGAGAAACAATTTCAACGATCACGCATGAATTGTTCCGACACAAATATAAGTGATTGTTTTTAAAACATAATTAATTTCATCGACCCCTCGTTCAGCCTAACGGAACATTTAATATTGAGTGCTCATAATTATTCCTTTTACATTCAAACCCTTTTTTTTCATTTGAGAACTTTTTGTTTGAGTACTTCTTCTGAACAGTTTGTTTGTTGTTTAAATTTTTGTCTTTCATCGTTATTGGAGCATTCCCAGAAATTTGGGTATACATCGTGAAACCTATTTTATGTTTTATGTGTTGGGTATAGATCATGAAGTCTACTTTATGTGTATACTGTTATTAAATTTATCTTTAATCTTACTAAAAGTATGTTATTTCTAATAATTTTATATTTTGATCTTCTACAGATCTGGTATTTGGGAGAACTGTAGGGCAGCATACGAAGACATCGTAAAACATCTCGAAAGGTAAGAGCTTGAACTTACTTGAATTGTAAAAATAACACAAAATACACAATTGTTTATAGACAACTCGATAGGTAAAATTCCAGATATTATTACACTATAGTAAAGTGCAACATAAACATGAAATTGATTTCCGAATTGAAATATTTTTTTTTATCTTTATTGTTACCTCAACCTTATTTGATTTATTTTTTAATTGTTTTTGATAATCATTCGTGAATTAATAATGTACGATATAGTCAAGTTATTTAATTCAAAAGGTCCATCGCAATCGGGACACTTAAAAAATAGCTTTAATTTAGACGGAGGCCAGATATCACAGGAGGGAGTGAAATTAGAGGAGACAATTAGATCCGTGGATCGGGTGTATTTTTAACAAATGACCGCTCGCTCGGCTCGCTTGCGGGGTGCGAACAATTCATCAAACTCATTCAGGGGCTAATCTGGATGTGAGGAAAAAGCGGCTCTCATGTAAATTGGGCCGATTCAAGGGCCAATCGTTGGGGGAAAGCGCTTTTCTTTCCGTGTTTAATGGATGGTGATTGATCGGTGGGTACGCTCCAAAAGATACGCGGTTTTGATTTCGCATTGAAGTGCCTCTATAATGTTACAATTACAGTTTTATTCACTGGGGTAATCATGCCCGTAAATCTTTCATGAAGACAGAATTTTTAAAATTTAAGGAAATTTTTTATGTTTGTTTATTATTTGAATGTTTCAGAATAGCTAAATTAATGTATAATGGATACATGAGTACACTATGTTTACGTACCTCTATGTTTTTCTAATATGAATTCAGTTATATGGAATATTTAAATCGTCTTATATCATAGAAAGAAAAAAAATCATTACGATTGATTCAATGGATCATAGATAAATAATTATTGTTTTCGCTTGTACAAAAAAAAGACTCGATATAAATAATATTGCGTATAAAAATGACGATTCTAGTTATAAAAATTTTCAATACGTTCAGACAAAAAGTCAGGGGGGGGTTAAAGCAAAACACAGAAGCATAAATGCTGTAAATCCTCCTATTAAGTGTACGTCGAAAAATAAAATCGTATCCGTAAAATAAAGGCTCGGCCAGTATGGGGTAGAATTACAGTCGGACAGCGGGCCTTGTACCGATGTGTCACTGTCAACCGGCGATCGCTCGCACGGCGCCGGATTACAACCGTTTTTAAAGAAATTACCCATAATACCCCGAATCCAAACACAAAAAATATCGACGATAAAGCTTAATCGATGAATCTAAAATATCAAAACGAGCGGCTTTTTATTAACTAGACAATATATTAACTACTTTAATTATAGACAACAGTTTTTGTTATTTTATTATATGCAAATTAATCTATAGCCATATCTTCTTAATCTAATGTTTTAGTTTTATTCGTTGTCTTGCTATTAATACCAGGTAACACAGTTAAATTATATTAATTGTCCTCATCTGAGTGGCAGGCTTCCTTACTCTTGCATTATCTTGGTTCGTTTAATTTACGCATGCGCTCCAAACCGGTTCTCAATGCTAAGTCCAATTAATTGACAAGATTATCTCTGATTTAATATAATTTGTGCTGTTTGTTTTGTTTTCTCTTTCGCTTCACTAATAACATTTTAAAGTGGATTAATGATTTGAGCAGGAAATTTCTTAGGAGATTAAAGAATTTGTTTAGTATAATTATTTCAAAGTGTAATTTAGTCTTATAAGAAGTGTTAGTGCCTTACTTAATATATTAATAGTATCCATTCTTATCGGATAAAATTTATTTGTTAGAAAATCTTAGATAAATTATTTTGAGGTTAGGAATCGTATCAGAATAGAATATTCGAATATGAATGCACTAGGCACAGAGGTCAAACTCATAGGGTGTATCAGAGTCGTTGGTAATATTCAAAGCTGTGTTTCTCCCGTAGTGTCATTTAAGTCAGGACAAATAGTCGGGATCAATGCATTCGTCCGGTTTAATTCCGTTTCGGTTGGAATTAGTTGCGATTAATCGGCGCGGGCGGGTTAAGCCGCGCGGGCACTCGGGCCGGCACACATTACTCTGATGGACGCCGTTATTCATCCCTGCCCCATGCACGAAGATAGCTGTGTTTATTTAACCCATTCCGGCTACTGTTTTGAATGTAAAAAGTAATGGCAAGAATTCTAATACACAATAAAACTTCAATACAACAGTTTTTTTTTATAGTAATGACGTATGTAATGATGTTTATTAATCGATTATATTTATTTTTCTACGTTACAATAGTCTAATTATAAAGGTGAAACTAGTAATAAATATCAAGAAATTGGGAATAAAGATATATTTATGTGATTTAACAGCCATAGGCAAACAATAATTGCATATATAATAAAGTAGCATGTTTAACTTTTATATTGGATATTGGATTAGATCTCAACTTTTATAATATAAATTAATCAATACTCGCCCCATTTCTTAATAAACTGTTGAGACACGGATTAGCAGCGGACCAACTTTATATTTTATAGTTGACGAAAACTTTGAATCCTGAAGTTAATTGAAAGAGAATTTATAATTATTACAATATATTTTATCAGTGTCATCGTTGCTCACGCCAACAACCGCGTCGGCAACATTTGCGTGATTGAATCCTCCACCATTAATTTTAGTGAAGATCAAACGGAGACCGAGGGTGATATTTATCAAGGATATTGCGAATTATTTTAATCAAATCAAATTCCCTTCGTTGTAAACAAATGCTTTTGATTAATGAGACGCGCGACAGAGTCTCGCAGCCGTTGTGATAAAACACCCGAGGAAAAGGCAAAATTAATGGTCATAAAATGAACTCTTGTATCCGAGAGATAAAGATGCTGAATGCTTTGAATCTTAAGTGATTTTTCTTCTTTTCCATTTTGAAAGATGATTCCGACGATCGCGTCTGGTGACGATGTACATTTATTCCAGCAAGGAATTAGCTGAAGTAATTTTGTGTGATTAGTGCATAACTTTTAGCCACCCTGTCAGAGATATTTAGATTGTCATGGTGCGGAATCATTAATAATAACGAGTTTTGATTTTCAGTCAGCTAATATGCATAGGGCGGAGAGAGCGAGTCACGCGGCCTACCCTCGGATGCCTTCCGCATATGTCACAGTGGTGGTACTCGAGGAATTTCCCATGTGCCCTGTGATCTAGCGTTTTGCGAATAGCCCTCAAAAATGCCATTGGTTAAATGCAATTAATTCCTTTGATGTTTGTGTTCTTGGGATACGTGTTGAGTCAGTGACGTTTTCCGAAAATTTTATTTAATACTAGTTTAATCATACCACGATTTTATTTCGCTAACAGTTGCACAAACGTCCATCAAAATTATAATTAGTTTAAAGCGACATTACCAAGACAATTATGACATAAGAGCTTAAAGGTCATTAAACACTAATGGACGTTTGTGGAATAGACCGTAAGTCTTATATATGGAATATAAGACTTACTGCCATTTTATTAGGAAATTGTTAGGACTACTCAGTTGTAATTTGTTAGATCTGTGAATCGTGTGTAGTAATAAAAATATAAATAGTGTTAATCAAAAATCTCGTGTCAAAGATTTTTAAAAATCACAATGAATTGCTTAAAACCATTTGAAAGATAAAACAATAAAATCGTTGAATATAAAGAAAACTTCCAAAGAGGCAAAACGTGTGTCCCTAACTTTTAAAATAAGAAAATGAAATATAAAATGTAAAATAAAAAAAACATATGCTTTAGACTTCAATGAATACTTATAACGAAAATTGTTTTGAATGAGTCAGTAATTTTTAAGTATAATTTTCACATTCAACATTTTCAAAAACCGCAATTATGAAAGTCACAACTGAGGTTTTTGAAAATGTCCTTATTTATATAAAAAATTAGATATTTTTTTGCTTCAAAAAAAAATTATAATGTTATTTTAGTAATTCATTTGTAATATAAAAAATAAGCTGTACTATTTTTTAAGGTCCCAATTACTGTGGGTTGTGTGTTGTTACCTAGATCTTTATTATTACATCCTTATATTATTCACAGAAAAGATATACTTACCATTCAAACGAAAGTATGTTACTTTATTCAGCTAAGCAGTAACACGAAGAAACACAATTTAAACTGTACGCGGGGAGAGCGCCTAGCGTCATAATGTAACTTGCAGAGTCAGCCTATATTAATCTGGATCTGGCGTCTGACAGCTAAAGTCAAATTTCTCATCAAAAATAAGAATTAATGGGTAACAGCATTAATCATCACTCGCAAACGGCACGAGGTGTATCCGTATCCCATTATTTTGCGTTACTAATGATATGTACACGCCGATAAGGGATGCTTTAGAATTTCACAAAGTCACCACCCTCGATTGACGAGGTGTTATGTTGTAATGAGCATTGAAAATATCCAAGTCGTATTTAGGATTTTTTCGTGGTATCTTGGTGTGAGTGCACTAGTTAATAACTAAGATTTTGTAACCTACAAGGCGATTAATTCAAAACATTTCTTTGTTTTCAGTATTTCTGTATTCGAATAAGATTTCAATTCCATTAAACATGTTTCATAGTTCTCGTTGAAGACAACTTTGCTAACCTCTTTTGATAAGTTTTTTTTTTATAAATATTTTTAATTTGAATATGACTTTTGTCACTTATTTTTTGTTTGTTGCTTTGTGTTTTTGCGTATTGTTTAAAAAGATATCTGTTTATTTGCTAAATTATCCCTTCTATTAACTATAGTCCACGATCTTGCTGTCGATAACAGTCCTTAATTATCCCAACTTTTATTTCGATTCATTTTCTTGTATTATAATCACAAGCTATCTACTATTTTGATAAGTTCTCGGTGAAAGCTAATGGAACAATTTTATCATGGTGACCTATTTGTAAACACTATCATGCATAGCAGATGTCCACCGATATGCGACGAGACCAACCAACGCACCAATCAATTAATTATGCGCCTTCACTCAATAATTTTTAATAAGTGTGCAACACTAATCACTTCCTC